AAATATTTCGATATGCAATTCGAATCACTTTTTCACAAATATTACCAATCCATGAATCAAATCACATTTAATAAAAATAGATCGATGGCCAATTATAAAAGAATCACATTTTAGCATAAAACACATTTATAAAATCAAGTCATATCTACAAAGGATATTAATATAAAGAATTAGGTAATCACCATATCACATATATTAAAGTCACTCACCGAGATAAGCCCACATAGTCTCACTATGCCTCTATTAATACTAATTTTAGTTTTATAAACGATTTGAGACATGTTGATCAAAAGTCAACTCTCTATCAACGGTGGGGCCCACAACCCTACGTAATTTGATCCGATAGATTTTCACATAAGATTTCAGATCCGTAACTTCCTAAAACACACATTATTCTTCTAGAACAACAAATTAAAATTTCATCACGATCCGACGGTCGGATATCTGCCAATTGCTAGAATTAGGTGGGGATCAACAATTTGTTTTACAAACTTAGAAATCCAATTCGGGAAGATCCGTACGTTGGATTCCTGATCCATCAGTTCCTAATATCCTCAAATATTACGTTCTATTTTGTATGAAAGTTTGGAGACGATCCAACGGTCGGATCGTCGATTCATATTTTGATCAAGTAATGTGTCATAGTGAAATTATGTTCAAATGATCAAACTACGTCATACGAATATCAAATACAAATTCAGGACATCTAATTGAACTTAGAATGATATCGTCGGCCCACTGGCCAGAGCGCCGCCGCACACGCTTCCGCCTGTGGCGATCGGTTGTCCCGACTTGCCGGAAAATTCAACAATTTTTGGAAATTACCAAACTTTATAAACAATTAGATCTCAGTTAGGGGAGAAATTTTCATACCTGTGGACAAGTCCCATTCGGCCGGGAAGTGTCCCAATTTCATCCAAACCCGCCGGAAACCCTAGAAATGGGTGTTCCTCGATTCATCACCAAAAAGAACTTCAACGCCTCATCCAATGCTTGGTACTTGCTCCAGGGGTTGAGGGGAGTCTATTGGTGGTGGCGATCGACGGTAATCATTGTCGGAATCACCGTAGAATGAGAAAACTCGTTGGAAAACCCTTGACAGTTTATGGTTCAACCTATAAAAATGGAAAAATAAAAATGGAAATCTAACACTACAGAGATGTAGGACTCGTCAAGAGTTTTCCATGGACACCAAGATCACCCAAAACGGAAGTCGAATGAAGGAGATATGGCTGGATCAAAAATGGTGGTTCGTGGGTCAAAAATGACCCATTTCGGGTCTCTCATTTTCCCTCCTTTCTCCCCCTCCCATTGGTCACTCCTCCCCTCCTTTTCTCTCCCGCAACCTCATCTTCTTCTCTCTCTCGCTGCCACCGGGCAGCATCCAGTCCTTTTTTTCTTCTTTTAAATACCAAAATGTCTCTAATTTCTTTGTTATAGCTCTGTTTCACGAACGGTTTGTGTCTTCGTGTTCGTGATATCGAGCTCTATCCAAAGATATAAATTGTGACCTCGAAATGCCTACGAGTTTTAAATAAATAATTTCCAAACTTCTCTTTTCGTAACTAGTTTAATAAAAAAATCTAAATTCAAACAAATTAAAATAAATTCTTGAAAAATAATATAAAATCTCAATAATACAAATACGTAGATTATAACAGTGAAATCCAGAAACGGGATTTCACAAACGATTGGCAACATCCAATACATGATCACTAGGAATGCATGTTGTATCTTCTCCATTTGGATATGGAATTGGGAATAAATCTAGCAAATGCTCTCCCTATCTAGAGTAATCCAATGGTCATGAGAAGTAAGAAACATGTTCGTCAAATTTAGCATCCCTTGAAACAACCATTTTTCTAGTTGTTGGATTGTAACACTTGTAACCTTTTTGGGTGGATGAGTAACCTAGAAAGACACATTTGGCAGTCCTTGGGTCTAGCTTGTCACGATTTTGTGCTTGAATGTGAACAAAGCATGTACACCCAAAGACTTTCAAATGAGATAAGTTGATCTTTTTGTCTTTCAAGACCTCATAAGGTGATTTAAAATTCAACACTTTATTAGGCAATATATTGATGAGATATGCTGCAATGAGGACTGCTTGGAACCAAAATTTCTTTGGCACATTCATGTGAAACATAAGACCTCTAGTCTTCTCAAGTAGATCTCTATTCTTCCTCTCGGCTACCCCATTTTGTTGGGGTATTCCAACACAACTTGTTTGGTGTAATACACCATGCATGCTCAGATATTGTGACATGTTATGGGACATATATTCAGTGCCATTATTTGATCATAAAACATGAATGTTTGAAGCAAATTGTGTGGTCACAAGTACATGAAAATCTTGAAAAACATTCATCACTTCACTTTTAAATTTCAAAAGGTACAACCAAGTGATCTTTGTGAAATCATCAACAAAAGTTACAAAATATTTCAAAAGACTCTAGAATTGGTCCCCAAACATCAGAATGCACGATTTCAAAAGGATTACTAGCCCTAGACAAAGAGGAAGTAAATGGTAATCTAGTAAACTTAGAGAAGTGACAGACGTCACAAGGACTTGTAATTTTGCACAGGTTTGGGAACAAGGTGGATAAGACTTTTTCAGAAGGATATGCTAGTCGTTAGTGCCAAAGTTATTGTTGTTGTTGAACTAAGCTTGAAGTGGCTTGAAAAACCTTGGGAACTTGAATATGCTTGGAAATGTAGTAGAGACCATTTAAGAAAAATCCTTCAACAATCGTCTTCTTGGTGACTAGATCCTAAAAAATAACATTTTTTGGAGAGAAAATAGCAAGAAAATTAATAAGTTTGTGATCTTGCCAACAGATAAAAGTTGAAAGGGGAATGATGGAACATAAAGAGCCTTAGACTTGACATCACTTGAGATCAAATGTGTTTTCCCTTTTCCTACAACCATAGCATCATTGCCATTGGCAATTGACACTTGAGATGGAGTTGAAAGTTTTTCAAAATTATGCAAGTTTATAGACTTGTTAGTCATATAATCAGTGGCTCCATAATCTATAATCCAATAATCATGCACATTACCAACTTTGAAAGCAATTGAGAAGGAGTGTAGGATACTTGGGATGTCTCGTTGTACCACACCTTCATTTTCAGCCAGGAAGCCATCAAACTGTCATAATAGGGCAATTTGGTTGTTGTCACACTGATTTGTTGGTCCTTCATTATCTCCATGACCTTGTTTCTTGTGAAGGAACATAGCAAATTCGTTGATCAGTGCGGCCAGATTAGTGGTGAACTTCTGTGCTCCCTCAGAAGAAGTTGTGGCAACATGATTTGCCTTGTAAGAAAGGTTGTGTGAGCCCTTAGAGAATCCCTTGTTGTCCCTAGGAAACTTTGGCTTTAGCTCTGGATAAAGAATCCAACATCAGTCTCTTGAATGCCCACCAGCATCATAATGCCTACATTTTAAGCCAGATTTCCTTCCTTTGTAGCCACTTTCCTCACCAAGTTTGGGGTTAGAAAAATAGGCCCTAACTTCACGTATATTTGCCTTTAGTTCCAAGTTCATGACCTTCCTGCGAACTTCTTCTCTTTGAATCATGGCACCCAAACTTGAGAAAGAAGGCAGGTCGGGATTCATGAGAATATGGCTTCGAAGATCTTCAAATTCAGGACTTAGGCTTGCTAGAAGTTGGAATATTTTGTCTTCCTCAACTCTCTTAGTTAACACAACAGTGTCGATGGTGTGTGACCGATACACATTCAACTTATTCCACATGGTGGTCAACTTTCCAAGGTGTTGCACAAATGACTTTCCTTCCTGTTGCAAGTCAATAATATCCTTCTTCAACTGAAATACACGAGCCGCATTATTTTGATTTTCGTACATGACTTTGAGATTTTTCCAAAGAGTCATGGAGGATTCAGCATAGCTGAAAATTTCTGCAATCTTACGATCCATGGAGTTGAGTAACCACGACATGACCAATTGGTCTTTGCATAGCCAAGCATCATAATTTGGTGAGGTAATCTCGGGCATTGGGATAACACCATTGACATAACCAAGCTTTGATCGTCCTCCCATAACAAGAGTAACTACTTTCTACCAGGGAAGGTAGTTATACTCATTTAGTAAGACATAACTAAGGCATTAATTTGGGTTGATATCAACATCTGAACGAGGTGATGATGGAGCAGCATAGGAGCTGTCACCTTCTAAATTCACTGAGCTCTCTTCAGCCATGTTTGAAGAAAAAGAATAAGCTCACAAAACTCTGAAGAAAATATACAGAGATAGGCCGGTTACGATCATTGCTCTGATACCATATTGTATTTTGTAAGTTGTATATTCATCATAAAGAGAAGTACAAGAGACCTAACCAATATATATGTGTGAACAGTAGGAACAAGACCTCGTATCCCTCCTTGATTTACGCCTAAAGCTAACAAACAAATTAAAAATCAACAAGATACACATCCCTTGAATTAAGGGGAGTGACAACAAGAGACTAACTATTGGTGATACCAATGCAAAAGATGGCAGAAAACAGCCATTCTACACGGTACATCAAAACATCACCCTAAGACTAGGTTAACAACTTGTACAATGGATATGCAACCTAACCCTAGTTGACATACTTCTTCCAATAATGTGTATAATGCTAGCAGAAAAAATGGCAATGGAGGTTGTCCAGAGAAATATATTGGCGCTAATACTTGATGATATTCATGTGGAGGTTGAGATAGGAGGACCTCAATTTTGGTAGATTTTAGATGCTGTTATCTTGTAAAATGTTAGACAACTTCATTCGCTTAATATTACCTAGTTAAACTCATTCTATTTTCTCTTCAGATATTGTTTCTAATCTTAATACCTCACCCAATTCGTGAATTTGAGTTTAAGGTTTTTTTTTTTCTTTCTTTTTTTCAATTTTCTTCTCAACTGATGCAGTTTAAGGTTTTTTTTAATTATAGATCGATACAATTAGTATGTGAGTGGGCAGGAACCCGGATGTAAGTCATGTGAAAAAAAAAATTCAATTCTTTTTAAATAAATTTGGTATAGGGCACGACTACACAGACGTGCCCAATCAGTTGAGAAGGGTCGTCAGACCTGTCAGAATGAAGTCACAAATAAGGCTCTATTGTGCTTTGCCTTAATAACACAAACAACTATATTGTGCCCTTCGACCAAAGGACACACTCATAAAGGTCACACATAGAATTATTGTTGCTGCACTGTTTCTGTTTTTCTATGAGCACATATGTTGGTGCTCTTCGGCCTCAAAGGGCACAAATAATTTAGTCCCTAGTGCCCATATTTTTTGTAGTGCCAAGTGCTAATGTGCTATGCATATATATGCAACCGGAGAACTTGTCTAACGACCGATTTCAGCAATCTTGGTCCAAGATTTTAGAGATATGTCATCGTTGTCAATTTCATACAATGCAAAGTGAGTTATGGGGAAGGTTAAGCCAGTAATGCTCTCGTCGAGAATATTAACAATTTCTCCAGCTTTTTTCCTTTCTTCTTCCGTCAACTTCCCGTAGAGGAGACTCAAATATGGCATAGAACCTGCATCAAATATTTCAGACACGCAGATTACATACGTACATTCCCGTCAACACTTTAAGAAATTAAGTTACTGTAAACAACAACTTACTGTTGTAGAAACCGAAATGGTAGCTCCAACGTTGGGCATTTTCAAATAACTAAGAAAAGGTGTAATGATAAGTGAGTCTATTCAAGCTCAAACCAAAACGAGAAAGATGAAAAGGAAACAAAACAAAACAAAACAAAACATCAAGAAAATGAATATGTATTAACAAGGGATCGACAAAATATATACCTTTCGATTCATCAATAGTGAAACACACTGGTAATAGTAATTCTTAGTAATCACCCGATCAACTTTAGCAACGATGTCATCCATAGGAGCAAATCTAAACTTGTTAAGGGCATCCTCCCGACTCATCATCTGGATAGATCCCAAGATGGGGATGTGAGGTTCAATCTCCGGCCCACCAAACTCTGCCTGGAGGCTCTCCATCAGCTTCTTGATTCTACGAGAAACATCAGCCGGTGGAATGGCCCAAATCGAATATGAGTACAACCTCCGGCAGCTTTCCCTCTTCCCGTCTACCACCACCATCGCATCTTCATCTTTATCTGAGCAAGTATTCTCTATGCTCTTAAGCTTGTGGCTGCGTCCCATGACCGAAACTATGCTATTCACATAAACAACAATATTATTATCTACTGTTTCAATGGGAGTGTGCTTAAGCTTTTTGGTACAAAGATTAAAGAAAACTACGTGCCCATCACTGTCAACCATAAGACACTCATCGCCCCACAACGCCACAGGACTAGACCTACGTATCTGATCATCTGTGCCCTCAATAGTAAAGTGTTTTGTCCAAGCACCCTTAAAGTCATCATCCATCACCCACATTTCATAAGGTTCAGGATATCGACGATCGTTCACACCAAGGGCAAAAAAAGCAACTGATTCATTCCAAACAGTAAGCTTCGTATAAAGGTGATCCGACCGGTTTAACGGTTGGAGCTCAGATGGAAAGGGTATACCGTGAAATACCTCACGACTTGCATCGAAGGAAATGATCAATCCCCCATTCGCACGGAATCGATGCTCAACTGCGTCAAATGGAAATAATTCCTTATCTTGCTCATATCCCAGCCAATAACACATTCCCTTGAAGGGCATCTGGAAATACTCAGGCCAAAACAAAGTAGTTTCGGTTTCTAAAGAATCTGTGTTGAGCTCTTCCCAAAAATCACAACCCGTGGTGTATACTACTGCTCTGTGCCGACTAAGAAAAGTCCGGCAGTCTTCATCTACCTCTTGAAAATAAGTAGTAAAGGTCACAACTTTGCACTCATTAGACACGGGATCATAGCCAAATCCAATATGAAAACCAGTTTCCATATGTTCTTGCCCATCGTGATCATCGGGCAGGTCCAAGGGCCACAATGGAAGGCATGGCTCATCGGGAATACGATTGAATTCCCCAAGTCCGGGATTGCATAAAACTAGGCTACTGTCACTAGATAGTAAAACAATGCCATTGCAGTGGCCTAGGATACAAAATGGTTGTTCCGGGACTCTGATCTTTTGAATAAAAGATTGAGGAATAATGATGTCCTGGACACCAACAAGAGAGCAGCTATTGCTATGCTCGTCATCAGTATTATCGTCGTCTTTGCAAAACCCAAGAATTGATAATACTTCTGGAGTCTCCTCCTTCTTAGTGGTGCTGTTACACTTGGGGTTCTCCTCCTCCTCCTCCTCCTCCTCATGTTGCCGCTGCACTACTAATCGTGCCAAAAAGACGTGGAGAGTGGTGAGATTGTTGTTTGCAGAGTTGGAGAGGTGCTTTGACACGAAACCCGGATTGTTGATGAGAGCAAACCACCATTTAGAGACACATTTGAATCGCATCAGAGTTTTGGGGGGCAGAGTTAGCAGGATTTTCACCAACATATCTTGTCCCATTTTCATTTTGCTGCTGCAACACTACTCGCGCTCTCCCTTACACGACAAATTATAAAACTTTTTAATTAAGATTTCTAAGAAGAAAAAAAAATCATATACAGGACACCGATTAAGATTTTAGATCAAAACTTTGATTAATTTTTGGAAGCAAGGTTCAATTATACATGGGGTTGTGCGCGTATATATATATATATATATATATATATATATATATATATATATATATATATATAATCATCATAGAAACTGATTTAGATTATTAATTAAAGATTTAATTAATTGTTGTAGAAATTACCAGAGATGAAAGAGACCCCCGCAGGAGAAGGATTCGATGGAGGCCGTGCCGGCCGGCGTTCTGTTCTGCTTTATGACTGTGAATGGTGCAATGCAACTGGGAGGGATTTGTTTCAAGTTCAACTTCAATTTTGTAGGCGTTTCTAAGGGCGTTTCTAATGCAAGGTCGCACGCAAAGTTTGCATCTTAAAAAACGCCTTAATTTTGTAAAATTATAGACCAAGTGTGAGAGTTGCATTGTTCAAACCCACAACCTCCAACTGTGATGGAACATTGTTTTAGGTTGGATGGATATGACCAAGTGTGAGACTTGTGTTATTTGACCCCATAACCTTACAGTTGGGCTGGCTCGATATCATTCATTATTTGTGGGCGTCATGTTATTTGATTTTAGCCCAGGTTCATTTTATTTTGTCACGTCATGTCCACATGGCGAATGTGAATTAGACAGGACTTCATTTTAGCCCAAGTCATATTGTGAATATACGTTATTCGAAAAATGTGGAATATTTGCATTCTTTATGGAATAGATATGAATCATGTCCATTTTAGTGTATCGAGATATGAATACATTGTATCTCTATTTTTTTTTCTGCATTTGGTGGAAGGTATATATGCATCTTATCTGTCAGCTATGCTTTCTATTAAGAATTTAAGATTGTCTTATTACACGATTACACTCATACTATATTAGTATTATTAACGATATTATTTAAAGTATACTATGGTAAGACTAGCCTAGTCCCTAAGATATAAATCATTAAATCACTTGCTTTAATCACATATGTTGTTTCCCTCAATAGAAAGTTAGAAAAAAGACCCAACACCATTGACTAACATTTGCTTTATTCACATGTGTTGTTTCCCCTCAATAGAAAGTTAGATTAAAGATCAAAAACCATAAGCATTTGTTTAATATTTTATTTCTTCAATTTTAAACCTATTGAGTACATTGCTACCCCCAATTTACATTCCATATTAGACTGATGAGTAAGCTAACTTTTAGGTTAGTGTATTTATTTTTTTTACATCTATTTTTCCCATTTGTGAGGAACGCATGGAAGCCACGCAATATTAATACCATTTTTTTTCTTCATATTTGTTGCAGTTGTATCAGATTAGGAATGTGATTATGTAAATCCTAGTATATCTAGGAGTATCTTGTAGTTACCATTAGGAGTTGATCACCTATTAAGAGATGTAATACTAAAAAGGTAAGGACTCTACCCATCCTACCACTATAAATAAAGACATAAGGGGGTGATACAACACATATCTCATAATTAAATCTCTCTCTTTCTCTCTTGTTGCTGCCGGCCCCCTCTCTTTAGTCCTTAGATAGCTCAGTTAAATAGGCCTACAACACGTTATCAGCACGCTCTTGCCAAAAGCTAAGGGATGAAGGATCGTAGAAGGAGTCTATCTTCTACAAATTCAAGGGCTTTCAATCGTTTTCTCCCAATCAGGTTCTTCTAAAATAAATTAAGATATTTGAAAAAAACCTTGATGCATGAACCCCTTATATTTATATTTTCCTTCCAATTATATATATCGTATATATGTTCATATATTTTGTCAATATATATAATTGTTCATGCATTACGCATATATGCTATGTGGAATTGTGAGTCAAAGAATCAAAATTAATTTAGAAGTAATTAGGGTTTTAACCCTAGATATTCGAAGAAGAAAAAAAGAAGAAAAAGGGAAAATTGCGGCACCACCGTGTTGGCCTGTAGCCCAGCCGTGTGGCGACAAATTGTGGGACGACATCGTTTTGGTGTCATTGGACCTTGTACGCAGCCCTCTGGGCTTGTTGCATCCCTTGGACTCAACCAAGCTTCAGCTTGGGTTGTATGATACATGGTCCTGAAGCCCGAACTAATCCAGCCCAAACCCGCACGCCATAAGCATGTTGGGCTTGTCCCCTGACAGGGGCCTGAAGCCCTGGCCCACTCAAGCCTATTTCAGCACAGCCCGTAGCTTGCTGGGCTTTGATCTTGCCCGGCTCGCAAGCAAACAGCCAGCCCATATGGCTGGGCTTCTTCCCCCGGCCCAAAGACTAGGCTCCAGCTTCGGCTGGGTCTTCCATGTGATAACCCACAAGCCAGCTTCGACTGGGCTTGTCCATGCGCGCCCCTTTGGCCCAATGCCAGCAGCCTTGGTTGCTGGACTTACCCAATTCTCTAAACCCGTGGGCTGCAACCATCTGTGGGCTGCCTATTTGCAGCTGAACCCAAGCCTCAATTTTTTGGGCTATCCTTTTTCGATCCAATGCTAATTTTTGGCATTTTAAATAATTTTAACCCGTATGTTATAATTATTGTCGTGGATTACTCCCACTATGTCTCATTTAGATCCCCGCACGCCTCAGTCTGAAACTGAAGTAAGATGCATTCTAGATCTTCAGAGCATTGCTCAAACCATGTTGGATGCTTTTACTGATCTAGCGAAGGTGATTGGATCACATATACCCGCTGCAAACGTACTTGTAAGAATGGACGTATCGATCGTATGCCGTAACACCGTTGTGGAAGGCCGATCCGTCCTTGAGGGTGGGGTGGCCTCACCTCCCACATGGCAAGGTACATTGGCGGCTAGCCAATCACCTGCTCCTACCCTATAGCGTGGCAGGCCTCCTGGTTTAAAGGATTCACATTCCCGAAAAAGGAAATCGGCACAAACTAGTGAACCTAGTCTGAATCTGACCAATTACATAAGTACATTCCCATCAACACTTTAAGAAATTAAGTTACTGTAAACAACAACTTACTGTTGTAGAAACCAAAATGGTAGCTCCAACGTTGGGCATTTTCAAATAACTAAGTGATAGGAGCATATTTATGCGACTTAGTTAGCTTGTTTTCTTGCATTTTCATAGTTAATTTGTGTTTATTGTAGTGATTTAAGCTATTTTCGTTTGTTTGTAGGTCTAATTGGCAAAGTTGGCAAGAAAGTGCATTTTGAAGCATTTTAGAGCAATTATGGGCTGGAATGGATTGCATGCATGTGGAGCACAAGGAACGGATGTTTTTGAAGATCAAGTGAAGCTAAGAACGTGCTAAAGAGATGGAGAAATCAATTCAAGACTTGGAAGATGAATAATCAGCTGCAAGGGCACCTAAAACCCTTCTAGAAGGCCTATATCTTCCCTTAAACACATGCTGCATCTACCTTTCTAGAAGCCCTAGAAAGGTGGCGCCCCAAACCCTTCTAGAAGTCCCAATTTCTGCCACAAAACATGTTCTTTCTAGAAGCCTAAAAAAGTGGCGCCTATTCTCTTTCTAGAAGCCTAAAAATCTGCCACAAACCCTAGTTCTTTTCCACCTTGGATTAGACCAAGCCTTTTTCTACAAAACCCTAGCCTATAAATATAAGTTTTTCAGCCAAAATTCGTCACCACCCCCTACCATTCAGAAACCCTTGTGCCGCAACCCTAGACACCATTCTACATCATTCATTTGATCCATACAATTCCATACACATTCAGCCGCAACCTTTCACCCTCATCAGCCATCATTCATCATCCTACACAAGAATACACCATCCATCACCAATAAAACCACCAACCACACCTTATGCCACAGCAAGGAAGAAGGAGGAGAGCCCTTGGACGTGCTTGCCATTCTAATTGGAGTTGCTGGAACGTTTTAGGTGTAATCTTTCTTTTGTTTTCAATGTTTAAATTCAATAATCTTTGTTTTGTGAGTATGAGGAACTAAACCCCTCTTAGCTAGGGGGAATTTCGAAACCATGGCTATATTTGCAATACGATTTGATTACATCCAGTTGTGATTTCATGAATTGTGAATTCAATTTACTTATCTGTTTGAATTAAAACTTGTTTATGTATGTGAGTTGAGAGTGCACACTTAATTTGCATGCATAAATCTGATGCTAGGATATAAGGGAGTTTCACCTAATCGTTATGAACTTATATTCATAAGTAGTAAAGGTTGTTAGTCACAATCATGTTAAGTAAATTCCTGGCATAAGTATCATGCGCTTTCATAGTTACGAATGCCTTGTCAACACTTATGATTTTCATAGAACTTAATAATCTTTGATTGTTTCTCTATTATGCGCTTTCATGTAGGGAACTTTTGAGGAATAATTTGATTGCGATGCGCCAATTCCATTCAATTCAATGACTTAAGGAAAATCTGAGGGTTAATTTAAGCGTACCTAATTAACTTGGGGTGTTGAGGTTCATGGTTCATTAAAAAAGCAACTGGAAATTGTTTTGTATGCAAGTATGTTATGTGTGGAGAAAGACCTCCTAGCTAGCCCATCATCCATCTTATTCCACCAAATTCGTGCAAATCTGCCTAGTTTTAGTTCTTGTTTTGTTTACTTTATTTTCGTCCAAAACCAAATCCCCATTTACTTTAGAGTGTCTAACTAGTTAGGATTTGTTTTAGATTGTGTTTTTAAGTGTTTTGAGTCAAGTTAAAACTAATTTTCGTCCAAAATTGTGTTTAGAGTCAGAAACTGTCCAGTTTGTGTTTTTAGGCAGTTTTGAGTGTTTTTAGCTTATTTTGAGTCTTGTGAACTTGTTTTGAGTCTTTTAAGTCTAGTAAAGTGTTTTAAAGCTTAGTTTTATCTATTTGAGTCAGTTTAAAGTGTTTTAGCAATCCCTTCTAATCTCCGGTTTAAGAACGATCCCTACTTACATATATACTACAATTGTCAAAAAAAGGTTTAATTTGTGTGCTTATATATTTTCACATCACTAAGAAAAGAAGGTGTAATGATAAGTGAGTCTATTCAAGCTCAAACCAAAACGAGAAAGATGAAAAGGAAACAAAACAAAACATCAAGAAAATGAATATGTATTAACAAGGGATCGACAAAATATATACCTTTTGATCCATCAATAGTGAAACACACTGGTGATAGTAATTCTTAGTAATCACCCGATCAACTTTAGCAACGATGTCATCCATAGGAGCAAATCTAAACTTGTTAAGGGCATCCTCACGACTCATCATCTGGATAGATCCCAAGATGGGGATGTGAGGTTCGATCTCCGGCCCACCAAATTTAGGAGTATTCTAGGTAAAAGGATCAACCATAATCCTCACGGCTTGAAGAGTTGGTTTTACATAGAATATGAG